GATCCATGGAAAAACGGGAAAAACGGGATCGGGATCCAGGGAAATCAGGGATCGGGATCCAGGGAAAAACGGGATTGGGATCCAGGGAAAAATGGGATCGGGATCCAGGGAAATCATGGAAAAACGGGATCAGGATCCAGGGAAAAACGGGATTGGGATCCAGGGAAAAACGGGATTGGGATCCAGGGAAATCAGGGATCGGGATCCAGGGAAAAACGGGATTGGGATCCAGGGAAATCAGGGATCGGGATCCAGGGAAAAACGGTATTGGGATCCGTGGAAATCATGGAAAAACGGGATTGGGATCCAGGGAATTCATGGCAAAATGGGCTTGGGATCCTTGGGATCCAGGGAAGTCATGGAAAAACAGGATTGGGATTGGGATCCATGGAGAAACGGGATTGGGATCCAGGGAAAAACAGGATTGGGATCCAGGGAAATCATGGAAAGGGATCCAGGGAAAAACGGGATCGGGATCCAGGGAAAAATGGGAAAAATGGGACTGGGATCCAGGAAAAACGGGATTGGGATCCAGGGAAAAACGGGATCGGGATCCAGGGAAAAACGGGATTGGGATCCAGGGAAAAATGTGATTGGGATCCAGGGAAAAACGGGATTGGGATCCATGGGATTCATGGAAAAATGGGATTGGGATCCGGGAAAAATGGGATTCATGGAAAAATGGGATTGGGATTGGAATTTATGGGAAATGTGGGAATTTTGGGAATGTTGGGTCAGGAACGGGGTTGGGATTTTCCAAGGGGAGGATTCTGGGTAAAATCCTGGAATTTTAAGGAAATCCTGGATAAAATGCGGGAATTCCAAGGAAATTTTTGGTTAAAATCCTGGAATTCCAAGAAATCTCAGAAAAAATCCTGGAATTTGAACAGAATTCTGGTTAAAATCCTGGAATTCCAAGGAAATTCCAGCAAAAATCCTGGAATTCTGGGGAATCCCAATCAAAATCCTGGAATTCTGGGGAAATTCTGGCAAAAAAATTTGGAATTCCAAAGAAATTCCTATAAAAATCCTGGAATTTCAAGGAAATTCCTCCTAAAATCCAGGAATTCTTTGGGAATCCTGAGTAAAATCCTGGAATTCCCAGAGAATTCCTATTAAAATGATGGAATTCCAAGGAAAACCTGGCAAAACCCTGGAATTCCAAGGGAATCCCTGATAAAATCCTGGAATTCTGGGGAAATTCTGGCTAAAATTGTGGAATTCCAAGGAAATTCCTACAAAAATCCTGGAATTCCAAGGAAATTTCAATTAAAACTCTGGAATTCCAGGAAAATCCCAATTAAAATCCTGGTATTCCTTGGAAATCTCCATTAAAATCCAGGAATTCCATGGAATTCTTGACTAAAATCTTGGAAATTTTGGCTAAAATCCTGGAATTCCTTGCAATCCTGACTAAAATCCTGGAATTCCAAGAGAATATCCATTAAAATCCCAGAATTCCAAGGGAATTTCCATTAAAATCCCAGAATTCCCAGGGAATTTCCATTAAAATCCCAGAATTCCAAGGGAATTTCCATTAAAATCCCAGAATTCCAAGGGAATTTCCATTAAAATCCCAGAATTCCAAGGGAATTTCCATTAAAATCCCGGAATTCCAAGGGAATTTCCATTAAAATCCCGGAATTCCCAGGGAATTTCCATTAAAATCCTGGAATTCCAAGGGAATTTCCATTAAAATCCCGGAATTCCAAGGGAATTTCCATTAAAATCCCGGAATTCCAAGGGAATTTCCATTAAAATCCCGGAATTCCAAGAGAATTTCCATTAAAATCCCGGAATTCCAAGGGAATTTCCATTAAAATCCCGGAATTCCAAGGGAATTTCCATTAAAATCCTGGAATTCCAAGGGAATTTCCATTAAAATCCCAGAATTCCAAGGGAATTTCCATTAAAATCCCGGAATTCCAAGGGAATTTCCATTAAAATCCCAGAATTCCAAGGGAATTTCCATTAAAATCTTGGAATTCCATGGAATTCCCATCAAAACTCCAGGAATTCCTTCCCCAAATCCCCAAATCCCATCCAGGAACAGCCCCAGGAATCCCAACACCCTCAAAATTCCCAAAAATCCGGGAAAAAACTTGGGAATTCCCATTCCAGGTTTTTTTTTC